GATTCGTCGATGAGGTCAAGAGCCAGAGGAGTTCCACAGGCCCCAACTGCACACCACGTATACACACACACTTACACAGCCCAGCACACTCCCCCCACAATACCCCCACCACACACACATACACACACATACACACACACAATTTCCCCAACACACACCGCACACTACACTACACACCCCACAGATGTACCTACTGTACCCACACACATTATACATACATATGCACACATCACATATACATACACATTCATACATACCTCACACACATATATGCCATGATACACACACACACACACACACACACACACACTGGCAAACTGATTTATAAATCATGAATAGAGGCCAAGTTGTGCCATAAATTTCCATGAACAGCACCCAAAATGTCTTAGATTATCAGATATCATTTCTTCTGAGCAGTAGACATCCCTTTTCTATTTGTGTGTGTGTGTGTTTTCTTTATGGTGTGACACCAGCAATGTGTGTCCTATATCTCACCTGGGAGCAGTGGGGCAAGAGGTCCCTACCTTGTAACAATATCTGACTCTTTGTGTAAAGAATGTCATTATTAGCTCCTTAACTAATTACCTTTGTATATTTTTTAAAGATTTTACTTATTTATTTGAGAGAGAGCAGGAGCAGAGGGGTGAGGGGCAGAGAGAGAAGCAGGCTCCCTTCTGAGCAGCCCCCCCAAACCCCCCCCCGACATGGAGCTCGAGCCCAGGACCCTGGGATAATGAGCCAGAGGCAGACGTTTAACAGACTGAGCACCCAGGTGTCCCACTTTTGTATGTTTTATGACACAGAGGTTGACCAAGTCTTTCTGAATCTGTGTTCTACTCAGTTTGAAAAAACAAATTCCTGTCTAATCCTGGACCCTGGCTTAAATTAGGTTTACATTTTGTAGTCCCAATATTGTCATCTTTAAATATTTCTGTGTTAACAAACACACCTACTTCATTTTACTCACTATGTAAATTTATTCAAATAAATGTAAATTGTGTGATAATTGTGTACCAAAAGTCCTATTTTCCTACAGATAAGAACTGATGCAATTTTTCCTAAATAATGGCTTATGCAGATTTTACATCAACTCTAAACAGCTATGAATATTACTGTTAACCCCTTGACTATTTTAATGAAAACTAGAGTTAACCTGTCTGAAATCCATCTAAAAAGGATACCAAGAAGTCCACCTGATCTCTCAAAGTGGTCTATTATTTTCAGATGTCGTCAACTATGTCCTGATGTCACAGCTCTCCTTGCCCGCTGTACGAAACAAGACACTGACAACTTATTTTAAGAACATTGTTTACTTCCCTTCAAAACACCATGACTTCAATATCAGAATCAGAAACCCTGACATAAAATGGTAAAAACAAGACTCACTCCTTGCAAGCACTTTGCTGCCCAGAGTATTTTACAGAACAACTAAAATCACTGTCTTCCTATACTTCCAAGTGTTCCCCAAGGCTTTGGAAGCAGAGGTCAATTGAGCTGTTTTGTACAGAACTTTGTGAAGCTGGAGGGGTTTCTACTTATATTATTTTCTTCCTCTTTTTAAATGTAAAAATATTTGCCTAAAACTCTTCTGGACTAGAAACAAAACTGTAAAGAGCATTTTGTAGAACGATGACTCCTCGGTAAAGGTACATATTTATGACAAGAAGAAAAAAACTTTCATTTTAGAAAATGCAAGTCTAATTCACACACTTCCGGAAACTCAAGCTAGAGATGATTATGACAACAAATCCAGGGATCTGGGAGAATGCAGCATTTTAAAATTCTCATCTCCTGCTTACCATCTCATTGACAAATAAGATGGAAAATGTATAATGACAACTTTGGGTATGTTAAGGCAAATTCCTAGTAGGTGTAGTTAGGTGTGTGTGTGTGTAACATTCTCAACAGATACCACCAAAGATACACACTGACGAACGATATTTTTCATGTTATACAACTATGTAAAGTTAATACTACAGTAATGGGAATACATAAAAACAAACCCCAAAGAATATGAATGATTTATCATAACTGTTCTTGCCCATTTAGTTCCAAGTTCTTAAGTTATACTCAACATTACATTAGTACATTGACTGAGTAAATGATATTCAGAATGTGATAATCTATAGAGAAGTGAAAACAAGAATTGGTATTTTAAAAAGAAATCAAAGTATTAATTAAAAATGGGAAAAAAAATGGATACAGTCAGTTAATGAGTAACTCTAGCATCTCAAAGCTAAACTTGATAAGACAAGACCAGTCACTGAAAATGGTTAAAGCAAGAGAGAGAAATGCTCTGTGCCTACTGGAGCTAACCTTATATTGCCTATAACCTCTGCCCTCCATAACTGCTTTACAATCAACACTAACCCCACCAAGAACTTACCCTCATTCCATGAATACAAAATAGTATTATATAATAAAATCTCTTTTCACAGGTAAGTAAGAATTTGCCTGACCGTTTAATTCTGTATAAGTTCTAAATGCAAGTTTAAGAACCATCCAGTTATCTAATTTTTGTCTTTTCTAATCTAGAAAGAAGCTCATCACAAGTAGTTGTTAGTTTTTTTTCTGAGGTAATGGAATCATTAAGCTTTTGAAGACTTCAATTTATAGGAGCCCTGCTCTATTATAACAAGGTCTAGGGTGGGAAGAGAGCCAAAACCCAGTCACAAAGACACTGCCCTGAGCAGCCCTATGAATCATTAGGTCTGGAGAAAGACTGCCTTGTGCTTTCTTTCTATCATATAGGTGCAGTATTTGATTTTTCTGCTAGGCTTCACTGAATGCCTTTCTTTAAACTCTACATCCACACTCTTCTAGTTTCTTTAGAAGTTCTGAGGCCAATCTTGAAAGGCTGCGTGGTGGATGGAGGAAATCATGTCGGACAGTCTCAATATTATTCATAATTAGATACTACAAATACGAACAACAACTGGGTCTGTCTGTGCCATACTGAATGAGAAAAGTTCCAGGAAGCTGCTGGAACAAAGTGGAGCACACCCATTGTGACTCTGTTCGCTATGTTTTCCGAATCCAAGCAGGGAGAAGCAAGTGAACCACATGTAGAAACAGTGTGGGAGCCAAATCCATTGTGATGAAGTGGAAGAAGAGACCTTGACTGAGCACCTGGTAATTTTATCTCCAGGGTAATCACGGTGGAGCTGTCCAGGGTGATATTTGTTATTTCAGCCCCAGTGCCTCAGGAGGGTAGACCAGGCCAACCTCAATGTTACAGTCTTGCTAACTTTCAGGATAATGACCCAAGTTTTGAAGGAAGGACTCACTTTTCATCTGGAAATAACTGCCACTCAAAAATCTACTAGGAGAAGGCAGAACAGGGTAAACACTCTCATGGCTATGCTACATTGCTTTCTGTGCCATCCAGTATGGTGGTCAATGGGCACACTTGGCTACATGTGATTGAGGAATGTAGGATTTAGTTTTTGTTTAATTTTGATTAATTTTTTAAAGATTTTATTTATTTATTTGACAGAGAAAGATCACAAGTAGGCAGAGAGGCAGGTAAAGAGAGGGGAGGGGAGAAGCAGGCTAACTGCTGAGCAGAGAGCCCGATGCGGGGCTCGATCCCAGGACCCTGGGATCATGACCTAAGCTAAAGGCAGAGGCTTAACCCACTGAGCCATCCAGGTGCCCCATAATTTTGATTAATTTTAATTTAAACAGGCATATATGACTCGTGACTAATCATAAAGGGGTATGCAGTTCTAGATTTAAAAAAAAAACAAAAAGAAGCCCACACCAAAAGACTGAGGAAGATTCTTCATAGCTATATACCCCTAAGGATGTCTGAAAAATGGCTCTGTTTCAACAGGGTCTTCACCTAATACAGAGTTCCCCAAATGGTGTGACCACTCCCCTTCCCTCTCACTTTTTGTCCTTTAGTCTCTTTTCCTCCTTCCCCCACATAACACCACAATATCTCCAGAGATCTGTCCCCAGTCTCCTAGCCCATGAGTCCTACACATTTGCCCAAGTACCCAAGATGTCCACACATCTTTCTTTTTTTATGGATTCTATATGACATCCTTTTAAGTGTTAATGTTACATTTACAAATATAACATATTCATTTATGCTATTTGGGAGTGTTTACTGTTATTCCTTATAGTAACATTGGCTTTGGTTCATTAAGAACTGTTTTTAGCGCTGGCTTCCAGGATTGCAACCACCTGGTAAAGCAAGACTTCCACATGGATCTCTTTTGTTCAAACAAATATTACCTTGCGTCACACATTTCATAACTTATTCTCTTCTCTTTCTACTTATCTATGACATTTATTTTATGTATTTTTGTATTTCAACAATTTTTTTTATTTTACATATTCTGTAACTATAGCACCATATGAATAATTCATCTCTGTTATTTTACCAATTGATGGGAACAGAAAAAACAGTAGGGACTTATACGGATTTATTTGTACTTACTTTTTTTTAAAGCACTATCCTCTCTAAACTTTTCTGAAATATTGGATACATGGGTATATGCTTCAATATAACTTATACTTAATACTTTCTATTCTATCACTGAATTATCTCATCACCAAATGACTAAGACACAGAGAAAGGGAAATAGGGGCAAGGTGAAAACAATATGGGGGAGAGGCAAGAAGCTCTGGAATTTCTCTAGAAGACAGCAGGATGCAGCATTTGTGTGGAGAAAATTCAGGCCTGGGGTGGGACACAGAGTGGTGAGCATGTCCCATAGAACAGGCACTTGTTAAGGAAAGTGTCAGACAGCAGAGGTTCTGGGAAGTGATGCAGGTCCAGGAAAGACCTCAAGGGTCCAAGAAAGCTCCAGGAAGGGCAGAGGTGGGAAGGCAGCAGGGAATGTCAAGTGGGGCCTTAGAGACACAGAGAAGGGAGCATGATGGGAAGGCATTTGGCTCCAAGAGAGTCATTTATGATGCTACCTATAGCTGCTAATCTGCACACTGTTCCAATTCATCCCTAAAATAATTTAAACAAGAAAAATTTTTACCTGTGATGTCCTGAATACCGTGGACCACGGATATGGCCTATTCCTCGGCACCCTGGAGTAGGACAAACAGCTTGCCCTGGAAGGATTTTCACATCATTTGCTCCTTCAGGAAGTAAAAGAACATACCTTGAAAACACCCTCAGTAAAGAACTAGAAAGACTAAAATATGTAAATGATATTCATTGAGACTTTGCAAATTAAAAACAAACCATCACTAAAACACTTACTGGATACTTGTGATGTTTTATAACATGATTTAGCAGAAAATATCAGTGCTGTCATAGATAAAACTAACACAACTGATATCTGAGGCAGAGCGAAATATAAAGGCATTGAAATGTTTTAAAAATATGAGAACATTTATCCGTTTCTTTTAGAGAATTGTACTGGCAAAGGCGATATAACCATGAGCTAAGAATGTGAAAGAGTGAGGTCTGGTTTGTGGTTCCCTTTGAAACTCCACTCAACCACAACAAGACTCCCCCAAATACAGGACAGAAATTCAATAAATAGGGGTGCCTGGGTGGCTCAGTCAGGAGTCTGCCTTTGGCTCAGGTCATGATCCCAGGGTCCTGGGGTTGAGCCCTGTGTCAGGCTCTCTCCTTAGTGGGGTATCTATTTCTCCCTCTCACTCTGCCCCTCTGCTCTCCCTCTCTCTCTTAAATAAATAAGTAAAATCTTAAAAAAAAATTCAGCTAATAAATGAGACATGCCAAAGATGGTGAACATAGCCCTAACCATGCTTAAGTAGCTTTCAAAGCTAGCTGAAAAAAAGCACTGACTCCTACTCCACTTCACTAATACTACGTACAGTAACACTTATGCTGCATTAATATTATAATGTTGTATGTACTTAATACTAATATCAATGCTAATATGTACTATATGTAACCACTCCAGGCCAGAGAGAAACTCTGTCTAGCCCAAGGGCAATCTATCTCTAAAGATTATCAGGAGCTCAGCCCTGTTTCTCTGCTCTGTGATTTTCCTCAGTCTGCTCTCCCTCTAGAAAAAGCGCTCTGGATCTTGTCATCACACAAAATGACACTGCTTCCAAAAGCACTAAGCAAACAGGCCATCTGACTACAAAATCGTATCCTTCCAGATTGCTTGCTGAGGTAGCCCAGCTGCCGATGATGGTTCAATATCCTGGGAGTTTCCAGGCCACGGAGTTCCTTCTTTCCCATCCTCACTTCTCTCCCTTCATAAATAACTCCCTTCCCTTTTCTTCCGATTCTGCCAACCAGTAGCTCCCTTCTGTTGCAAATAACTTAAGCCCCCTTGCCTCGACGACCTTCTGTGACAGGTGACTATAGGAAGGATATAAAGAGCCTACCATGGGGTCAGTGGCACCACCCTGCTGGTCTGTGTTTCACAGGACTAAGTTCTCCTAGAAAAAATTACACAATGGTGCAGATTCACTGTTAACAAAACTATGGTCTTCAGTGTCACCTGAGCCCCTCCCCATTCTCCCAGACCTCTGCAAGCCTCTACCTCTGGTTCTCAGAGCTGCCCCTGCCTGTACTTCACTGGGAAAACAGGAACCAGTCTGTGGGGTACAGCATTCCCTCCTTCCTTTCCATCCCATCACAATGAGGAGCTCTCTCCCCTCCAGGGTGGGTCTCTCACCCTTTCCATTTGGATCTTATCTATAGGGTCTTTAGGCTCTAATATATTCTTGTCACTCCTGCACTATTGAATCTTTTGTACCAGTATTTCAACAAATTCCAGTTTCCCCACCACAAAAAGAAAAAAAAAAAACAAAGACAAAACAAAACAGAAAACAAAAGCTTAATGTTCTCCTTGGGACTCACATTCCCGTTTAGGAGCCATTCACTGTTTTGCCTTTCCCAGTCAGACTTCTCAGAGAAGTTATTTCTGTTTCCTCACATCTCGCTTCTCAAACCATGTCATTCCTCTCAGGTCACTAACGACTTCTGTGCATGAAGCCCGTCATGGGCTACTAAGGATACATCACACTTGCTGTCTTGGTGTGATTACGCACTATCCCTTCTCAAGTTGTTACTGTCCACAAGCTTTGGTGGCAGCACCCACCCCCCCACCCCACCCCCACCGACAGTTTCCTTGCTGCATATGGGCATTCTCTTGGAATACTGTTTGCCAGATCTCCCTCCTCTAGTTAACCTGAAGATGTCAGAGAACCTCAAGATATGTTCCTGGGCTGCCATTTCTACAGCTTTGTTTATAACCTGCAAGCTGTAGACGCTCACAGGCTATATACAAGCCCACGGCCTACGTATAACAAATATTAGAAGGTACCAAAGCAAATATTTAGACCTTAGAGACATTTTCAGTAAGTTTATTGAGTGAGAAGAAAATCTGTCTTAGACACTTATTATGCCTTCATAATTTTGGAAAACACCTTGAGGGATAAACAGAGAGAAACATGTTGCCTCATCCAAAGGTAGCTTTTGGAAGCAGCCTTGAGAAAGAAACAACTTTTAAACAAATTCAATGAAAACTATAGTTAAAGAACTGTTAACAAGTCTCTAATTAAGAAGTATGTTTATGTCAGTCGGTAAATAAAAAGATTTATAAGAAAGAAGCACAGAATATAAATAGAGTTTTCTCCAAACTGCACCTAACAATGCACTACCAAGGCCACCGTCAAAAAGACCTAGAATATTATACCTATAAACAAACCACCAAACAAATGCTCTCTGTCAGTCAGCCTGTCGCTTTGTGTGGACAACTTTCCAATAAACTGTCAGTGAAGGCTCTCTAATGTGTTTTTCAGGACTCTTTCAATGCACTTGATTAAATTAGGCTTGAAGTGATCTTTTAAATATTTATCAAAGCACACTTATCTCCAATGTCCCGATGGGGGTTATATTTCTCTACTTGTTAGATACGTAAGGAAGAGTATGACCTTAACTATTACGAGAAGAGTTATTACATTAAGAACTGCAAGCAAGGGTCATAACAAAGAAGAAGTAGAGAAGAACATGCAATAAAAAAGCATGGAATCTAACAATTTTCCTTGGTACATTTTGTATGATGAAGTTTAATGGGTTGACTCAACGGTGAATTAGACAGCCATCTGTTGGGGAAAAGAAACCTGTGAATTCTATAATCCTTCATATTATTGCCTCTAGGATAAGGGAACCTATGATAAAATTAATGTTTTTTTCTCAGAAAATAATTGCATTTTTACCAAGAATATCTTCCTTTTAACTTGGATATTTAAAGAACTAAGTCTCAAGAAGAAAATGTTCTCAACTTGAATTCATTTTTTTCAGAGAGACCATCCTGAACATTTTACCCTTCCTTGCCTGCTTTTTGCCACTTTAACTGAAATCGATTTCCTAGTTTATCTGCTGAGCTCCTGTTTCCCTTCACTAGAGTCAGGACATTGACCTTATCTAATGAGTCTACCACTGGAGCCCCAGAACCCACTACAAGCAGCAACTGCCACATAATAAATACCAAATAAAAACATTTTATAAATGAATCAAAAATCATAAAGACAGCAACAATTAACACCTGTAGGCATTATTTGGCATATCCTGACCACCATGCTGGAAGCTAATCCCCACTTTACTCCTATTTCAGAGCTTAGCTTGTCTAAAATCAATCTCTGGTTTTCTATTTCTGAATACCATGAGCTATTATCAAGCACTAATAGTTCCTAATTTACTCCAAGTCTTCTGTGAAAATTGTACTTAGGCAGGGGTCAACCTAATGGCATAGTTCTTCCTGCAAAGGCAAAACAAAATTGAAAATATCCTTGTAGACTGGAAATTATCCAAGTAAGGAGCAAGGCTTCACACTCACATGATACAGTAAGTAAAATGTCCTAGTGGGCCCCCCATTCATATGAAATTATGTGGCTGCCATCAGCAGCCCAGGCAGACACTGTAGTTGCCCACCAAACGTCCATTCCCTCTTTCTCGCTGACTGAACCCTGATTTGGTTCAAGGCAGCAATGTGCCCAGCTAAAAATGTTGGCTTTGCCAGCCTCTCACATCTAGATGTGGTCATTTGACACCATCTGGGACAATAAGACCTAAGGGAAGTGCAACATAAGGATGTCCACAAAGGCTTCTTTCCCAGCAGGAGGATAAAGGTGATGCCAGTGCTGCTTTGCCCATGTCCTCCTTCCTCGACCTTCGTGGAATGCAGACATAAGAGCTCACAAGGTTGACAAACACAAGGACGAAAGCAAAAGTGTTGAAGAATAATCTCTTTGATTAAACCACTGTAAACAGATTTTTGTGTGACTTGCAGCTGAAAAGTCCATACAAGAAAACAGCGATTTTATTGTGTTTATCCTTTTGTGAAATCAAATAATTGTTCTAAGACAAAAACAAGAATTGCATATGAGCATTAGATCTATTTGTCACGTAAAGAAGATGTAAGATATCAAGGGAAAAATCAGTACACTAAAGAGCTCACACCCATTGCTAAAAAATGAGAAAGGGAACTGGCCTTTATTTCAAAATGGCGGAAACTGGTGACCACCAGTGACGTGAGTAAAAAGGCTTACTGGCCCAGTAAGTGTGGGTTAGAGGCTACGTTCCCTGCCCTCTTTCTGAGTAGGAAGCAGCCCCCTCTCCGAACTTATTTTATTGGGTCTAGAGGTGATTGGGGGCAGAATGACAATGGCACTGAAGCAAATGAAGGGGTTCTGTTCCCTTACATATATATATGAGCTCTGCACTGATGTGGGCCCACATCAGGGCACGAGGATCAAGCAGCAGGCTTCCTAGCTAATTACCACTGCCAGAAAAGTTTTCAGTTCAACCTGATTCATTTCATAAGTGTTTTACAGAGAAATGACTTTACCATCGGGTGGTAATAGCTGCTGGAGGATACAAAGAAAAGTGGAAAAGATTTAAATCTGATACTACTAGCAGACAAGTTAAGATACTTTAACTCTTATTTTCTTGATACTATTTTTTAAATAATAGTTTTTTTGAATAGCCACTGAGAGTTATTTACTCATTTAAAGAGGTACTGAGTGCCTGCTATATACCAGACAGGATTTGGGGGGCCAAGGATATGGCAGCAGACCAAAAAGAAAGACCTGTTGTCCCTGGAGCTTACGTTCTGTCGCCAAAGATAGAATAAACACTCATTGAG